CTGTGGACGGGAAAGGGTGGAGCTTGAGAGGGGAAAGTTGGGGGAAGGACTGAATCAACACAAGAGGGAATTGGGGGGTGAGGGGGCAGGATGGGCCAAGGGCTTTGTCCAGGAGGTGTTTCTAGACGCAGTCAGAGCGCCAATGCGGGAGGAATGGGGTGACCCAGAAAGTGGCCGAGGGGCGTGTTTATGGAGGAGATGCAGGCGTCGGTGGGCCCTGGCGGGGACTCTGTACAGGAGGAAAGGTGCACGTGGGGCTGAGCTGGAGTAAAGGTGGGAGGAATGTACCAGAAGACACAGGAAACCTACAGGAAGGTGTTGAGACAGGACGGGCTACAAGCAGGGAGTGGACAGACCAGGCAATGTGGGTGTGGGTGCTGGCATTTCTCGGGAAAAGGAGGTGTTGGGGGGTGGGGGAGACAGGGCGGAGGAAGGGCTCAGCCTGGGGGATGTGGGAACTGGAACAGGAAGGAGGTGAGTAAGGGCCAGATCAGAGGCGGATTGTAGACGGAAGGGGCAATGGGAAGGGGGCAGGGGAGGCTGCGGCCTGTCCTGTGGGGGCTGAGCAGTGAGATGAGGCGGCCCCACCTGCCAGTTCCACGCGCTGGCTTCGCAGTGCCTGTGGGGAGAGCCTGAGTGAGGGGCGTGCTGTGACATGCTAGTGACCCCCGGAGGCCGCAGAGGGGGGACACCCAGATCATGCCTCTTTGACCCCCATGCTAGACAACAGATCTTGAAAACACAGATTTGAGGCGCCAGATATATTTTCCCCTAATAGATGTTAAAATAATGACCCTACTTAGATTTTAGAACATTCTTCCAGAAACCACATAAAGCTGGCACAGGAGTCTATCCTGCTTTGGGAAAAGCTGGATGAGGTTAACGCCGTCATTTCACAGGCAGGGAGGAGGGGTTCAGAGAGGCTGGGTCACTCCCCTCAAGGATGCACAGCAAGGTAGTGACGGAATCAGAACCAGAACCAGAAATGGAACCAGAACCAGCCTCTCATTCCTAACCCAGGGCACCCCATTCTTTTTTCTTTTTTTTTTTTAGCTTATTTATAATTTTATCCTCACCTGAGGATATTTTTCCATTGATTTCTTAGAGAGAGTGGAAGATAGACAGAAAGACAGAGAGAAACATCAATATGAGAGAGACACATCAATTGATTGCCTCCTGCACCAGCCCTCACCAGGGCCTGGGCCAGGGAGAAGCCTACAACTTAGGTACATGCCCTTGACCGGAATCGAACCTGGGACCTTTCAGTCCGCAGGCCAACGCTCTATCCACTGAGCCAAACGGGCTGGGGCCAGGGGACCCCATTCTTTTTTTTAAATGTATATTTTATTGATTTTTTTATAGAGAGAAAGGGAGAGGGATAGAGAGTTAGAAACATCGATGAGAGAGAAACATCGATCAGCTGCCTCCTGCACACGCCCTACTGGGGATGTGCTCGCAACCAAGGTACATGCCCTTGACCGGAATCGAACCTGGGACCCTTCAGTCCGCAGGCCGACTCTCTATCCACTGAGCCAAACCGGCTGAGGCCAGGGCACCCCATTCTTGATAATGATGATGAGGAGGATATTCACAGCTAAAGTTTGTGAGTCCTGCTACATAGCAAACCTTGTTCTAAGCACTTTTATGGGTGTTAATTCTTTAAAATGTCAAGAACCCCATTGAAAGTACTATTATCCCTGCTATTGGACAAACTGAGGCACAGACCGGTTCAGAGACCTGTCCAAGGTACTGATGATGAGAGAGGCGGAATCTCGGCTGTCGCCCCCTTTGCTCCAGCCTGTGCTTCAGGTTCTTCTTGAAAATAACTGGACAGAAGGAGGCCTGGACAGCAGGGGCTGGGAGCCACAGCTGCAGGGAGCCGGGGGCCACAGCTGCAGGGGGCTGGGGTGAGGGCTGCGCGCAGGGGCTTCTGGATCCGATCAAGTTCAGGGAGCAAGGCCAGCATGCCGTCCCCTCCCCCAGGGACCACAGCCTCATTGCCTCCTTTCTGACTTTCCCCGAGTGAGAACCCTGGGCCGGGCACCTCCTTGGTCCTGGGAAGACCTGCAAGCAGTGGGCAGAGGGCAGTCATGGACCGAGCCACTCCCCGAGCGCGGTCAGCCTCAGAGAGAAGGGGACCGAAGCCTGAATCCCAGGCATTTTCAGAGACTCCATCCAGGGGTTCGCACAGGTTTCATTTCATGGGCTTTTTCGAAACAGGAAAGATCTTAACTGGAAACTCCACTTAAGATAGTGAAAAGGGAAAGCTGCTCTGTGTTCTGGATGGAATAAGGAGGTGGGCACCTCTGAAGAATCCCCCGACACACTTAGAAAACCATTGGCCAAGTCAATGGGCCAGATGACAAAACGGAGGCCCAGAGAGGGCAAGGGAGGAGCCCTAACTCCCACAGCAGGTCTTGGCCACCTCCCAGGTGCCTGCGAGTCCTTCCATGGGACACCCCTCTGGTTCCGCCCCCCTCCACCACCCGCCCTGAGTCCCTGCGGGTCTCTAAGCCCCGCCGCTGCCTGCTCTGTGCCTCCATCACGGCTCACCTGCTGGGACCCCGCAGTAGCCTGCTCCCTGCTTTCTGGCTGCCATTCTGATGTCCTTTGCCTGGCTTCCCATGCTGCAGCCAGAGAGGTCTCTCCACCATGGAAACCAGCTCTGGTTGATTCTATGCTCCAAGCCCTCCAATGGTCTCCCAACGAACTGGGGGTAAAATCCCAGCTCCCTGCCCCGGTGACAGGGCGCTGCCTGACTTCCTTGCCCACCGCCCCTTCCCCCTCTCAGCCGGGGCAAGGCCAGTGACCTTCTTCCCAGCTGGAAAGGTGTGCCCTGCCGCCTGGACCGCTCTTTTTTTTTTTCATTCCTCACCCGAGGATATGTTTCCATTGATATTTTTTTAGGGAGAGTGGGAGAGAGAGGGAAAGACAGAAATCTCGATGTGAGAGAAACACATCGACTGGCTGCCTCCTGCATGCACCCTGACCAGGGCCAGGGCTGGGGAGGAGCCTGCAACCAAGGTATGAGCCCTTGACTGGAATCAAACCCAGAACCCTTTGGTCCACAGGCCTATGCTCTATCCATTGAGCCAACCCGGCCAGGGCTGCCTGGACCAGGCGCTCCTCCAGATCTTGGTAGAAACAGCTTCCTCGCCTCCTTCACTTCCACCCAGAGTCCCGCCCACCACCATCCCCAGGGCTATTCCCTCACCTCACCTTGTATCTTGTTTTTGTCTGTCTGTCTGTCTGTCTGTCTAGAGTGGAAGTCCCAAAAGGGCAGGGACCTTGCGTTGACTGCTGAATCTCCAACATACAGTAGGTGCTCAATAAATGACTGTTGACTAGAGGAGCACGCATTGGCCAGCCTATCCCCAACGCAGGCTCCCTTGAGGTGCCCCCCCCCCCACACACACACACACACACACACACACACACACTTCTGGCTCAAACAAGCCCCTGTGGGGTCCCAGAGAAAGAGGTGGGGAGTGTGTGTGAAAAGGGCAGGATCTATCCGCTACGGAACTGACTGAAAGGTCAGGGCTGAGTCCTGCTTGGTAAGTCCTACCCCCTGCGGGGTCCTCCCCACAGGGCGCCTGCCCTCACCCCAGACAGGCGGAGGCTGGATCCTGTGGAGAAAGGATGGAGGGGGCTTGCTCCCCGCTGTCCCTGTGCAATCCAGTCCCTCCCTTCAAATCAGAACCCGCCCTGCCCAGACCAAGTCACCCAAACCCCGCCCTGGCTCTCTGCCCCTTGGTCTCCCCCTCTCTCTGCCCTCTGTCTCTCCTTCTGCCTTTTGTAATATCGAGGGAATTACTTCTTTTTCAGGAGCCTCAGTTCCCCCTTCTTATAAAAGGAGGGACACAATTTTTATACTCGTCACATCACAGATCCAAACATCCTTGTTGGTATCATCTTATCAATTATTGAACAACAATTGTTATTCTACCGCCACTGGAGAGCTAAGACCAGAAGCCAGTGTGCAGTGGGAGGAGGCCCCCAGAGCCGGGATTTCCCGCTGCTCCGGCCTCCGGAGACCACCTGGGTTCAGCTGCAGCGGCACCGGCACCTGCTGGAGCCACAGGAAATACACTTCTCCTTGCTAATCTCCTCAAGGGGAACCAGTGGGACGCTCACCCCTTCCGGCTCCCGCCCTCCACCCTCAGCCCACCTGCTTCCAGGGAGCGCTGGGCATGGGGGAGGGGCACTCAGACAGCCCCCTCTCCTCCAGATCTGCCCACCACGGGGCCCGAAAGACAGCACAGTGTGTGACAACTGGGGTGCGAGGCTTTTTCTGACCTCTGCCTGCCCAGATGGGGAAACTGAGGTCCGGGGGGGGGCAGTTCTCTAAGGCACATGAGGTGCCACCACTGGGCAGATGTGTCCTCCTTAACTGAAGAGCTTCCCTGCCTGGATGCTGTCTCTCACTCCCTGCACCCCGGTAACTCCCCCTCAAGACTCGCTGGGGTTCTCAGACCCTCGGAGAACCTGCTGAAAGGCACACCGACTTTCTCACTATAAGAAAGTAAGAGGCCCGGACGGCGTGGCTCAGCGGTTGAGCTTCGACCTGTGGATCAGGAAGTCACGATTAGACTCCCGGTCAGGACACATGACCCGGTTGCACGCTCGATCCGAAGTGTGGGGTGTGCAGGAAGCAGCCGATCAATGATTCTTTCTTATCATTGATGTTTCTCTCTCTCTCTCCCTCTCTCTCTGTCTCTCTCCCTTCTTCTCTGAAATCAATAAAAATATATTGGAAGGAAGGAAGGAAGGAAGGAAAGGAGGAAGGAAGGAAGGAAGGAAGGAAGGAAGGAAGGAAGGAAGGGAGGAAGGAAGGAAGGAAAGGAGGAAGGAAGAGAAGGGCTTGTAGTGTCTTGGCCATCCCTTCATCAGTCTCCCTTGTCCAGCTCCCCACCCCTCACCCCAGTGTTGACCCTCTTCAGTTGGGATCTAAGTGGGCTCCCCT